GTCAAAGGCCTAAAAAGTCGGTTTAGGCTAGCACGCGCCGGGGGTAAGAGACCCCATAAGATCATGATCAAGCCATGGCCCGAGGCCATCAGGAGGGTCCAGATAACCGTTGCAAGCCTATCGAGGACAACGCCGCTAAACTTGCCATATAATCCGCCGAAAAATTAGCTTCTCTATGCACATGGTAGAGCCTCACATCCCAACTCTTTTGAATCATGTGACGTATTGCTTGTACGATCGCCGTATGAACTCCAAAGTCGCAGTTAGATCCCAGCATCATATTCAACACGCACTGGCTGTCCACTTCTGCAATAACCTGGCGAAAGCCTAGATCCCATGCCAATTGCAACCCCTGTAGGAGTCCCCATAGTTCGGCACCCATGATGGTACAAATCCCTATGTTCATGAAGAAGCCACCGATCCATCATCCGACTTCGTCTCTTAGCAACCCTCTCGCGCTCCCTATACTGGTAGTATTGCTAAATGCCCCGTCTGTATTTACTTTGATCCAACCCGTGGGAGGCGACATCCAGTGAATTATGAGTACACATTGGCTCCTACTTTAGCATATGACATGACCGCCGAGTCTAATTCTCCACCATGCGTATAACCTCCATCTGTCTAGCTTCGGGATTTAAAGCACGCTGATTAAATATCCTCTAATTTCTCTAGAACAAAGCTCGCCATGCAGCAATAGAAAAGACGTTGTTCCACGTGGTAATCATTCCCAGCACACTGGTGCTCAAATTCGTACTGATCCACGCCTTAAGGGGCTGCCGAAAGAAACTACGAACCTGGTCACGTGGAACTAGCCGATCCCAAACCTCCTTGGTCGTCGGACAATCCCTTAGGAAATGGAGCTGCGATTCACACTCTCCACACAGGTCACACAATTCCAAGTTAGCTATGTGTCGCCGGACTCTCTCCAAGTTAGTCAAGAGTCTTCCTCTAACCGCAAGCCACAAGAAGCTACGAACCCTTTGCGGTGCCGGTGCACGCCAAATTAACTTCCACAAAGGTTTGTCATGGTTAATCTCCTCCTGTCCAAGAGACTTGTATGCCGACTTAGTTGAGAATTTCCCATCTTGAGAGTCGTTCCATAAAATGCGATACTCGTTGGCCGAACCCCTCGGAGGAAGCATGCTAGCAATGCGAAGAATGATACCAGACGACAAGAGGCCATGAAATAGGTCCCCGTCCATACTCATCAACATACTCTGCCACCTTCGCATCGACGTTCACTCCTACCGGCTTTGGTTGAAGATAGTCGATCAGAGGTCTTCCCGTCCCTAGCCAAG